TTTTTTTTTTTTTTTTTGCTTATTGTTTTAGAGGTTTCAGCCCCTGACTGGTTGACCCTGTTGCTTTGGAAGAGACAACATCATGGCGGGAATGTGTGTTGAAGCAAACCACTTGCCTCAGAGCCAAGAAGCAAGGGAAGGTGAGGAGGGGCCTGGGTTCCAAGATCCCTGTCAAGGGCATGACTGCAATGACTTAAATCCTCCCACTAAGCCCCACCTCTTGAAGGTTCCACTACCTCTCAATAGTGCCAAGCTGGGGACCAAGCTTCACAGGGGCCTTTGTGAGCCAAACTATAGCAACCCTTAAGTCTTTACAGTTGGTGACCAACACAAGCCAAGGACTTCATGAATCTGAGTACCATGGGGCATGCTGCTAATTTCTTTGTTTATTTATTTTTTGGTACTGCGGATTGAACTCAGGACCTTGTGCTTGTGAGGCAGGCAGCAGAACCACTAAGCTAAATCCCCGCTACTAATTTCAGTTGGAGTAGGACTGGCCACCCAGCAATCCCTGCCCTGGTTCTATCAGTTATGTCACAGGCTGGACAATTTGCAAAGAACAAAACAGACTTACAGATTTACCACCTACAGGGATACACATTTTGGAATTATGAAAAAAGCATTTGAGAACATTTATTCTATATTGCTATAGATCATTTAATCAAGTTCTGTACATGATCACTATGGTATTGAACAAAACTTGATGAAAACTTGCAAGGCGTAATTCTTCATAATCTCTATAAATCAATGGACGCCTACGTCATGTTCACAGACTAAAATGTAAAAGATGCAGACAACGTCACAGGTCCAAAGAAGCGTAAAACCTATCAGCTGCTTAGTTTCTACTCCCAGTGCTCACCAAATTTCAGAGGACGGGGTCTTTTTAGTCATTTGGTAGCTTTCTTCTTTTGGGACTGCCAGTAATTCATTCAGGAGCTTCTTCTTTGCCAGAGTGAAACATTCAGGTTCGTTTTCTCTGCTCTCCTCAGACTCCGCCATGAAGAGGTAGAAAGGGCACTTTAGGTTCATCTCTCTGCCCTTCATCTGCTGGGGGAATTTGGGCAAGTCTTGTGCCCGCTCTGAGGGGCCTCAATTTTCTTTTTCATTTTCTCATTTATAAAAAGTATGTAAAAATCACCTGCAGCTGGGAATGCACAGCACACAAGTTATTGTTGTCCTCTTCTGTTACAGATGAAGCATCGACCACACAGAGAACTGTTCCCGGAACCACAAAGCAATTCCCATGACAACTTTGGTGAGACCTGGCACCTAAGCTCCCCAAGGAATTGAGTACCTTCTCCTTTTTGGTTACCCTTTCCATACAAATGAGGGATGCGCTTCTAATCTGTATTTAAAGTTTCATCAAGTTAAACTGGTACTGTCAAAAAGCTGCTCCTTTTCTCCTTGTAAAAGTGTGTCCCCTTCTGAAAAATGGCAAAAATCCAACTAATTAGGTAAATCACCTGGATGAGGGTGCACATATGTTCCAGGGCCAGAACTGACAATTCTTATATTCTCAAATGAACCAGGTGAAAATGGGCCAGGGCAGGGGTGCTGCAGGTGCGTTAGTTGGGTGTGATGGGGGACAGAGGCTCGAATATTGCTTTGAAGATTAACGGAGATGGCCTAGAGGTCCCCAGAACACACAATTTTGGAGGTTCAGTCATAAGAACATAAGACTCTTCCACTGGGAGGCTGAAGCAGGAGGATCGCAAGTTCAAGGTCTGTTGTGGAACTTAGTGAGACCCTGTACCTCCAAAACGAAAATATACTTCAGGAGGCAAATGACCCTGGTCATCATCCTGCTTGATCTCCTAGAGGGGCCAAGGATAGCATGTGACGCCTGTTTATCTTCCTGCATCCATCTTTAGGTGCACCAGTCAGAAAGCCAGGCGTGGTGGCACGCTTGTAATCCCAGCATTCGGGAGGCTGAGGCAGGAGGATCGCTGTGAGTTCGAGACCAACTACATAGTGAGCTCCAGGTCAGTCTCAACTATATAGTGAGACCAAAAAAACAAACAACAACAAAAAAGTCACAAGAGAACTGCAGCACCCCCCCCCCATATGGTGTTTGGGAGTTATTTCCAATGCCCACAAAGTCTGGCTCAGTGTCCAGGATACAGTACGTGTTCAGGAAATATCAGTTTCCTTAGTCCCAGTGAGAAAAATGAAGCCCGGAGAAGAAGACATCCTCAAGGCTCTAGTTAATGGCAAAACAGGGCCCACAAACATAACCACTTAGCGTCCATAGATCTGCCAACCTGTGCTAGTTCTGTCGCCCAGGGTATCCAGGGACCACCTCTGTTAATGGACTGGCTGTGCCACCACATTCCTCTTGGTCTACAGAATCAGGGATGCTAAATAACAGCAGACAGAACCACGCCTCCCTATCCGGCATCAAGGAAGCTGCAGATCCTTTGGTTCAAGAGTGGTGACATCAGAGCATAACCACGGTCCCCAGGCCAGGGGACCTCTGTCTTACAGGTGGTCCCCTCCACACCCAGGGCCACTCACAGAGCTGCATGCCGGGAGGGCTGGGGCCTGCTCCTTGTTGCAGAGCACGCCGGTGGGCCACCTCCCAGTGTGTCCTACAGTACCACAGCTGTCAGACAAACTGCCCGGAAGAGGCCTGCTGTGTCGCTGGATGAGTCGTGACAGCCCTTGGACTCCTGACTCATGGTGATCATTTTCGACCCCCCTCCACAGCCTGCCTCCACCTGCCTCTAAGCCATCTATGTGCTATCACCCACAGCCAGCTTCTTTAATCACTAACCTTGATCTACATTCAATCTAAATCAGTGGACTTGAATCTGGGGACAGCCTGCATCTCGGGCCCTGACTCCCACCGCTGCAGATGGGCAGGTTTCCACCAGAGGACAGACTGGGGAGCGAGGTGAGTGTCGTATATTAAGCAATCCGTCCTCCCTGTATTTGAACATGATCTTCGTCCCATGCTCCATGCAGGTGGGTAATAAATCCCTGGGTCTGACACTGCTGCGGGTCTGAGAGAATGAAGCCGCTGCGGAATAAAAAGCATTTCAGGCAAACAGATGAAATGACGTCAGAATAAAAGTTTATCAATGTGTATATTATGGAAAAGAAATCTGTCCAAGTAAAATGGCTTCGGGATGTTTTACCATTAAAGCAAGTTTTAAATGATCCCTCTATTTTTCGCCCTGTCTTCCAACACATGTAGCTGATTTATCATCCGAGTAGCATATCGACATGCATTGAGGATGGTTCTTTGCTTCATGTTTCCAAGAGATTTGAGGTTTTTAGGTTTAAAAAACACCGGGGTATTTATAAGGAGTGGGAAAATATTTCCAAAAAGATGTCGGATGAATCCTAAAATATTGCTGTGCCTCCCTTTGCTTTACAAAGTGCTTTTAGATTCTTTATCTCAAACATCCCAAGTTTGCTTTTGCTTTGAGAGCAGGAAACTAGTTCAGGTCTGAGGAGATTGTGTTACAAACTGCTTCTTTCTGAGTTTTAATTTTCATATGGCAGCAAAATTTTTATGAGTCTACAGGAAAACAAAATAAACTCATTACGAAGAAATTATTGTAGGCTTTCTTATAAAAATTCCTTGCAAACATTGTTGTATTCCAGGTGTAGGCTCTGGAAAAGTCCAAGTCACACTTTTACACTGTGCAGGTCTCACTTCTCCCGGGGGTTTGCTGTGAACTCACTCGGTCCCCACTGTCCATACCGTGTCCTTCTGGCTTCCACAAGCTCCATGGTTACCAGCATCCCAGCTCATTCACACTACTCTGCCACTTTTTATTTGCTGAGGGAAACATCAATGTCTGGTCTCTATCAAGGCACTTGGTAGACGCTCAGTACGTAGGGAATGAATGGAAAGAAAAACCTGCTGGAAATAGGTAACTTATGGGAAGTGCATTGTGCAGACTGGATACCTGCTAGTGTTGTCAAGGGATATTCTTAAGCAGTAAGACGACTATGACTCTGTGTGTGTGTGTGTGTGTGTGTGTGTGTGTGTGTGTGTGTGTGTGTGTTACTGGAGACTGAATTTAGGGCCTTTACTTTGAGCTATATCCCCAATCCTCTATTTTTTATTTTGAGACAGGGTCTCCTCAGTCACTAAGTTGCCCAGGCTGGGCTTGAATTTTCAATCCTCCTACCTCAGCCTCCCACAAGGCTGGAATTACAGGTGTGTGCCACTATGCACAGCTAAGATGACTATAACTTGTATCATTTAGGAAGTCAAATTCAAAAGGGGGCAGAGGAAGGGAGTCAGGAGAAGGGTCCTCATCCTGGAAAAAGGACAATACAAAGACCTGCAATTTTGGCAACCAGGTGGACCCAAGCAGCAATCACCTTTAACTCTCCCCTCCAGCTTTGAGCAGTTCTCTGGGTGGAAAGATTCCGGGAAGGCAGAACGAGCAGGGAGGGCTGAGACAGTCATGCACCAGTGACCAGAAAGCAGGTGAACGGCCTCACCCTCATATGTTATGCCCATGTCCACTATGGGCTGTAGGAAAGCCTCTTGTCCAAGTTCTAGGAAGCTGAGAAATGCAGCTGGACCCTAAGCCACACATCAGCCTTGGAAAGCTTGGACTTTCCAGAACACCTGCAGTCTCTCACCTCTGAACTCTGATCCTGTGCAGGGTACCACAGAGTTCTGCTGCCCCTTTCCCCCACCAAAAGAAAGTAAGTCAACAATCAAAATCTTTGCTAATGTTGAAGAAGATAATTTATAGCTCTTAGGAAATGGCAACTAATAAACCATATCTGAATGTTATTTTGTCGCATTAAAAGATGCTTAAGGCAACGATAAGTCTAGGCACACAGAGGAGGGAAAACTGTACCAGTTTCAATGTAGTTCTGAATTTTAAATTCTAGTAGGGAAAGAAATGAAGGAAACGCCCCCTAAAAGAAACAGGAACACAACATAAAAGATCATTAGTTAGAATAGGCATAATGAAGTTGTGTGATTTTAAGCAAACAAACAAACAAACAAAAAAATGGAACCCAAAGCAAACAGGAAGCACAAATACTGATGACATTAAACACCACAAAGAGGACTAGGGAGTCAGCTTAACCTCTGCCACTGATTTACTGCTGGCTGAGGCAGGAAGAGGTTTAGAAGAGATTAAGAAAGATACACATACAGCAGGTCTGCTCCACACATCCAGCCAGTGGAAGGTCTGTTTGTGAGCGAGAGGGCTCAGGTCAGCCGCACGGGGCAAAGCCAGGGCACAGCAAGGAAGGAGTGTGTGCCTGGACCACGAGGGGGTCCCATCATGGCCTCCCAGCCAACCGGAAAAAAATTGGTTATCACCAGACTCGTGTTTGTCTGGATTGTCCCATCGGTGTACAATAAACCAATGCATGGATTGTGAGTTTTCTTGCTATCGTTTTGATCACAGAATTTCAGAGATTCGACAATACAGAGCATCAAGTCAATCACTCATTAGTCATGTGGCCCTCTGGCCTAGGGTCACCTCTAGTGACCAGGACCTCAATTCCTCCTGAAGAAGTTCTTACCATCCTTGGAACAGCTCTGACTATTAGTGAATTCTTCCCAAGACTGAGCCAAAATCTCTTTCTGAAATATCCACCTTTGGCCCTTGGGTAGAAAATAAATCCAAAATGTCTACAATATGAGAACCTTTCAAATATTAGAAAATGCCATTATGTACTACCCAGGTCTTCTCTACTTCAGGCAAAATACACTCAGTTCTTTTATGCTTTCATTGTGTGATTTAAAATTTTCTCACCAACACAGCTACTTTCTCCTGAACTCAATACAGCTTCTCAAGCTCTCCCTTAAAGTGTGGCATTTATTGGGCATCTGCCACCTAATGTGGTCTGACAAGCAACAGCCACAACAGTCCATGTCCACTTCTGAGCTACTGCACCTTTCTAAAAGGTGGCCTCAGCATCTCCTACACTTACTGAGTTCCGTCACGTGTGAGCTGTGTAATGCACTGATTTTAATACTGAGAACCCGCACCATGCATAAGCACTTTCTGTTACACCCAAGGCAGACAGGAAGTGATGTAACATCTAAAGTCGCACAGTAACTGGCTACCCTCTCACTGGTTTCTGCCATACTTAATTTTAATAAATATGCCTCACATTCCAAATCGTGAAGATCTTTTTTGATCTGCACTCTTTCCTTCAGTGTACTGTATTCACAATTCCTCCCGGCCCTGTGTCATACCCAACTCGATAAATGTACTCTTTATCACTTTAGACAGGTCATTCATACCATTTTTTTTTAAATCACTGCATGACAATGGTTGGGTTGCCTGATGACTCTTGGCATTTTTTTTGCAATGCCAATGGAAATTATTCCACTTAGTCAAATTATGAGACTTCATTTAAAAATGAATTCATTGTTAGTTCACTGAATGCCAAGACCATGTCACATGCTTCTTCGCATCCCACACAGCTAGTAAATGTGCAGTAAAATCACTGAAAGGAATACTGTGTTCTGAGACACGAAGCCCTCGGGGGGAGGGCACAGAGTGGGGTGCCCATGCCTCCAGTGGTTTTGGGGTACAGTAACCGCTTCCCGCTGTGGACTATGCTATCAGTACCTTCCACAACTCAGTGGCCCTGGTGGGCACGTCCAGGATGTCGTGCCTTCCTGACGGGGGACCTAGCTGGATCCCGAGGCAGCTGCAAAACAGGCCACACTTGCATGCAATGAACCAGCACTGCGTAAGAGGTCACCTACGGTAAGGGCTCCGAGATGAGACGTCCGTCCACCCTGAAGAAGACCGGACGCTGGGGACAGAGGTGGGCGTATCCCTCAC